CAACAGCACTATTCAGCATGAAAAATAAGATCCGGATTTTCAACTCCATTGTGAAGTCAGTGCTACTCACTATACGGATCAGAGACTTGGCGCATCATAAAGAGTATCTGAAGCAAACTACAGACCTTCATTAACGGCTGCCTTCTCTCAATACTCAAGATAAGATGGCCAGCCAGAAAAGATCAGCAACAGAGATCTCTGGGAGCGAACCAACCCAGCAGGAACCAATTGTGAAACAAATAGGCAGGAAGAAATGGAGATGGATTGGCCATACTCTGAGAAAACAAACCATCAAGTGAGTGACATCACTAGACAAGCCATTGCTCGAGTGGAAAGGGAAGCGGCGAGTCGGTCGTCAGTGCAATGGTGACTTGGAGGAAACATGTGAAGAGGAGATGAAAGCATGTGGGCAGACTTGGAGCCAGGAGAAAACGTTGGCAGAGAATCGAACGCAACGGAGACGCTTGGCTGAAGCCCCATGTTCCTCTAGGAATTAAAGGAAATAATAATAGTGTCATCTTTGAACTCTAGCTTCACGAAGGCATTTTCTTTAGGAATTGTTTCAGTTTTCAGCGATGGAAATTTTTCTCTCATCTTTCTGTCAATAAATCTGGTTGTATATCGGTATTCCGTTGGGGGTATCCAGGAGAGATTTTAATTTATACTTTATCGTATATGCTGAACAGATCTCTCGATTCCCTTGAGCATAAAGAAGGTAATAGATTTTGCTTTTTGACTAAGAGGAGAGAGCTCTGGAAGCTAATAAATTGTCCAATCTGTATTGGTTTTTCGTCTACCGATCTTTTGATCGAGTTTTCTTGTTTGTTTTTTTTAAAATAACGGGGGTGGGGGGAGGAATACAATTTTTTCTAGATCCAGTGATATTTTCACTCTTCTTGGTGAAACAATTTTTCGAGAAATGGTTGTATGCTCGTACAACGAAGTACAGGAACTCAACGATACCATATTTGACCCGTGTTCTAAGCGACCGAGACAATGTTAAGCGTGAAACCTATGACTTGCTTTGTTGTTAATAACATAATTTTAGGCTCTTTTATTTCTCTCTTATTTTGTATTCTTTAGTGAACTCCTTCTTAAACATACTTAGCTACCTAAATTACTAAAATTGGCTTACTTCTCTGTACTTTACTCTATGCCTCCTTTTATGTATCTACTGTTTTCGAATATATTAGCACTATGAGTATCACAAAATTGTCCTGTCCTTAACCATCATGTAATTATTAGTTTTTGTGGTTGTTTTTTTAATTTTTTATTTTTTTCGGCAATATTAACTGACAATCATTGGTTGTGAACGCCATTATCATTATCTCAAAAATTTTGTATTATACAGGATTACTCACACTACTACTACAAACACTGCATTAGACCTGACAATAAAAAATAAAACAACAACCCTGAAATGTTATTTTATGATTGTTTAGAGTTGTTTCAACCAAATTAACTGATCATCTTGGCGATAAACATTCTTAAATATCATTTCATAACTTCTTGTATAACTATAGCTTTACTGTCACCATGCATAATCATATCATAGCTTCCACTATTCAATACTGAGATATTACTATATGATGTTTATTTTCCTTTCTACTTCTTGGTATTTTTTCGCATTTTTAAAAATTGTTTTGTGTTTTTCCTGTCTTTTTTTGCTGCTGGTGTCTTTATATTTATTTTTTTTTGAAATACTCCTTTACAAATGTTTGATAAAATAAGATGCAAATATTGTAGACATGTGCTGAAAATTCCACACTGTACCACTAGTACTGTTTCTGAAATAAAGCAAATTATTATTATTATTAGAAAAATGAGCCATTCAAGTTATTCCTTTCCATATAGAGTGGAATGCGGAGTTTCAGCAACACACCTTTTTAATTCGTCCTGTTCTCTGAAGTTATTTTTTTTTACCTTGCTCCACAATTGTCCATCAGCTTTCACTTTCTCCCCCCGCGAACTTGTCCATATCGCCCTCGGGATGTCCAACTCGACATTTGCCACTCCAGTTTACCACTCAATGTTCTGGACTGTCAGGCAATAGGTCCTTGATTGATCAGCTGCCTGTCAGATTTCCCTGGTTGCTTATCCTTTCCGGTTGGCCAGCTAGCCAGCCATCTCATCTTCAGAATCGAGAGATGAGGTAGGAATTAATCAAGTAGTTTTATTCAATCTGCTCATCAACGTGTATAGCTAACTGGCTACCTAGCTAGCTAGCTAGCTGTATTCGCACAAAAACAGATTATTATCATCTATAAGAGAAGCAATCCCTGTGTTTTCAGGTCACGTTATTCCATATTAGTTTTTTTATTAGATGTATCACACAGTCACTGAAACAGTATTATTTACTGGATGATGAAGTTGAGAACACAATTTATTGTTCACAATCATCTCATCAATTATAATCACATGACTTCGAAACTTCAGTCTCATAGTTTTCTTTGTTCTCTCCTATTTGTCGTCGTTGGGGTAGTAGTAGAATTTCCAGATATCTGGGTGGACAGGTGATGAATCATTCCTATTACACGTATTCTCTCTCAGTTGATTCGATAAACAAAGTTTCTGTTATCAATCTCTCCCTCCACCCTGTGACATTAGATTTTACAACTGTCATCCTACCCCATCCAGCTTATTGTATTGTTGTGTGTAATTGCATGTACTGAGTGCTATTCCCTCTGAACTATTCTCTAGATTTCTTATCTTATTTGGATCAACCAATCTAGATTTTGCTAAGTTTTTATGCTCGGCTAGTCTGACTGCCCCTGTTCTACTAGTTTGACCTATGTATTTGACCTGACAATCATTGCAGGCATGGTATTAGATAAACTAAATTGTTTTGTTTTAAAGGCTTCACAAGATCCTTTAGTCAACATAGATAGTTTCTAATTAAGTTTGTGGGTCTAAATACCAGTCATTTTTATTCCTGCCTTGCTAAGAATTCTGTGTAAGGTTTCCTAGGTTCCCTCCTACATTGGTTGACCCGAATAAGATAAGAAATCTAGAGAATAGTTCAGCTATAGCACCCACTACATGCAGTTACACACAACCATACAGCATAGGATGGGATGGGATAGGATGACAGTTTTTAAATCTAATGTCACAGGGTGAATGGAGGGAGAGATTGATAACGGAAGCTTTGTTTATCGAATCAACTGCAAACACATGTAACAGAAATGATTCGACACCTGTCCACCCAGATATCTGGAAAATTCTACTACCACGCCTACGACGACAAATAGGAGAGGGCAAAGAAAACTATGAAACTGAAGTTTCGAAGTCGTGTGATAACAGTTGATATGATTATGAACAAAAAATTTTGTAATATTTTGATTTGACACTAGTAACTAGTGTGATGCGTCTAGTCCTCTCTTTGGTGCAGACTGAATTCTATCAGTCAGGTTGTAATGTGGCCACCATTCTAGGTAGCTCGCCATCATGGTGTACATTATTTGTGATGATATTAGATGGCTGGAGGCAATCGGCAGGAAGCCTTGCACCTAGGTTTCGTTCTAGTTGGCACTCTTCAGCAAGGTGTATCTGCAACCTTGAAGGAACCCATGTCCCTTCTGAGATTCGAACCCGCGTCACCCAGTGCTGCAGTCAGAGAGGTTACCACTGAGCTATTCGGGCTCCATCTAATATCATCACAAATTTTGTAATAAGAACAAATTAGTTCAGCGAAGAGTCTCTTTTCGGCGAATTCATTCACTTAGCTGTACAGTCGCAAATATATACAATTAATTTTGTGTGTGTGTGTGTACATTAGGTTTGTCAAAATCAAAATCAAAATAACAGTTAGTGTGGGTTGTTGATTATATCATCAAAATAATAAAGAAATTAAAATGTGTGATTAATAATCAAAGTTGTAACTAAGTGGGGTGAAGATTGGTAAGATGTGAGTAGGGTTACGTAATATAGACATGTTTAGAAAGATTAGATGCTAGTGAAGGAGTATGGAGACAATTATGAAAATAAACTAGATTATAGGTGAAAAGATTGAATGGGTTACTTACTAAAAATTATTTTACGAAGATTGCAAAAAAATTTGATAACAAAATGTTGATGACAGATAAACTTGAAATTAAACCCACGGTAGTAGGAGGGGGTGGAGAAGTTTCTTCTGTGTGCATAAATCAGGCTTTTCTATCCAAATCGCTAAGGCTTCGGCAATACAAAGTATACGGAAGCTTGTCGATTTTGGAAGGCTACTTTTGACTTTATAGTTTATTTTCATAATTGTCTCCAAACTCCTTCACTAGCATCTAATCTTTCTAAACATGTCTATATTACGTAACCCTACTCACATCTTACTAATCTTCACCCCACTTAGTTACAACTTTGATTATTAATCACACATTTTAATTTCTTTATTATTTTGATGATGCAACCCTACTCACATCTTACCAATCTTCACCCCACTTAGTTACAACTTTGATTATTAATCACACATTTTAATTTCTTTATTATTTTGATGATATAATCAACAACCCACACTAACTGTTATTTTGATTTTGATTTTGACAAACCTAATGTACACACACACACACAAAATTAATTGTATATATTTGCGACTGTACAGCTAAGTGAATGAATTCGCCGAAAAGAGACTCTTCGCTGAACTAATTTGTTCTTATTTCAATGTCTTAATGGGTATATTTCGCGAATTAAAAAATTTTGTTCTCAACTTCATCATCCAGTAAATAATACTGTTTCACTGTGTGATATATCTAATAAACTAACTAATATGGAATTACTTACTACCACAGTGCTCAAGTTTTACACATATATTAACAGGTCACGTTATTTAGACATTCTGTTTTTAAAATATCCTGTCTTATCGATTTTCACAAATACATACATACACTACATAAATATATACATATATTAGTAATTATAATTTGTACAAATATCAGGCGTCAGTGGTCATGACTCGCGAATGTTTTCCTGTCTGATACATAAATACATATCAGAAGGCATTGGTTACCAACGAAATGTTGAAGAATAATGCGACGAAATATCCTCGGAAAGCTGAAACTCTACCATGTGTTCCGTCGGGCTGTAGAAGCACTGGTAAAAGAACTAATAAACAAAGAAAGAGCAGTAGTGTTAGTAGTAGCAGTAGGAAGAGGAGGATAGCAAGAAAGCACCGCATTATAACGAGTAATCTTCACCCTGCAGAGGATATTCCCTTAGTCACTAAACGATATATTGACAATGAGCACCAGATAAGAAAAAGATGTCAATCACTAGGCTATGGAGATAAAGGAGATAGTCAAATTATCAAAAATCGTGTAAATCCAACTCGACAAAAATCTGTCAGTCGAAGTAAATACATCCGTACATCTCCGTACACCTGCCAGTTAACCGCCGCGTCCTCCTCTTCTAGGACGAAAACAAATTCACTAACCTATTCATCAAAAATGCCTAAGACAACTGCTCCAGCTAGTCAGACAGGAGAATCAGAGAAACACTGCTTGACTCCATTATTTCCCTTTAATGTCAGCGATAAATACCTGCATAAATCGACTTCTAAATGCCAGAAGTCTTATTCTAAAGCCGACGATCAAGAAGAATGTACTGATGACATGGATTCGATACTAGTAAAACTTATCGGTCAAGAATGTTATAGTTCAGGTGATGAGACCTGTGAATATCCCACACCGGGGAATATTTGTCGTTTATGCAAGTCAGAAAAATTGCGCATACCTGATTCCAGCAATGCAACGACACTGAATTATTTAACAGACAATTGTCTTCTGTCGCAATCAAGTTTATCAAGTGATTACTCTTCTGGGTGGGTACAAAATATACTAAAGAATACGACTGGACTTAAGCGAGATAATTTCCCTGGATCAGGTAGCCAGTTAGGCAAGGGTTATACACATCGTCTGCCAGGGAGAAAGTCTCTCGACCTCAGTCAGAATAGATTGTCTCGAATAAAAAAGTGTTCATCGTGTGATGTGTATACTAACAGTTCGTTGACACCGATCAAATCTAGGAATAGTAATGAGACCTATCATTTGTGTTATGCGTATAATTTCTCAAATGAAACATCAGACGAGAAGCCAAGGAAAAGATTTCTTCAAAACTTTCCTCCCCCTCCTATTTACCGTTTATGTCACCAACATCACCATAATCCTCGTACAGAAAGTACTCCTGAACCCATTGAACGCCTCACAGATTCGCAAGAAGGCACACACGCCTCATCAAGTCGAAAATTATGCAAACGTATAAAATATCCAAGAATGCCGTTGTTCTGCCAGCCGTCAGAGAAGACAACAACACCAATGAGTCCCGATCGCATAAAAACGTTAGAGGAGGATAATTTCCCATCATCGTCAGAGAATCGTCAACCGACTAACCCAAAGAAAGGGTTATCTCAACAGTCATTTAAAAAAGTACTGCAAGGATTTCCATATTTACGGCATACTTCGCATACAAGTCTATCACCGATTCGTGTAAGTATTTCCAAGCTAAAGCTTAATTCGCCGCCTGAAAAAGAACAAACAGTCTGGAGGCATAGTGAATTTAAATCACCGAAAGATTTAATGGAGAAGGTTATCGGTGGTAGAAATTCAACGACTAACTTTCTGTTACACGAATTAGAAAGTGTAATCATAACAAAAGAGGAGGAGGATTTCAGTACACTGCTAGACACTGGACCTTTAGGCGGGAAACATTCTAGCCCTAATGAAACTATTAATGAAAATAAAATGGATTCAAAGGAATTAGACAAACCAACAAGTCAAGATGTTTCATCTTCAAGGAGCATAATACCTCCGTCTGTTGAAGCCACTTCACCCGAAGTGGTAATCCCAGATGTAAAGCATCCAAGTCGTCATAGTCTACAGAATGATAAGACATTATTGCCTTCTGATTACTCAGCTCCTGAAAGGAAGGGAACTCAGGACGCAGATGATGGAAACTTAATCTTACAGTCTTTCAATGTTATACAGACCCCCAATGATCTTAGTAAAAAATCACAAGTACCCTATGAAAGTAGAAACAAGGACAATACTGATAACACAGAGAAGATTATTGTAGGTTCCAAAGGACAGTTGGAACTAGAAGAAGAAGTGAGTCATCCTCCAAGAATTGTTGACGTGAATAAGAATATTCAGCATAGAAATGGAGGAAGCCATAGTGTATCACTTATAGGCCATTCATCTATGAATGATGCGAGTAGGAGAAGTCAAAAGCATTCTCATGGCGAGATTAGGCGTGAAAACGACAGGCATCAAACTGAGAAGGCACAAGCCCCCTTGGGTAAACTAACGACAAATAATTTGAAATCAAGTACAAACTTATATTTACCAGAAACTGACACAGAGAACACAGTGAATCTGCTCGTCACTCTTAGACAAGACAATATAAAAACACCAGATCTCTATGAGAAATTTCAAAGTTATATACTAAACTTTCCTTTGACACTCCAAGAAAGTAGATCTCAATCCTTCGAGGATAAGTCATTGAGTCAATCTGCGAAAGATGATACAGGTATGAAAATGTCACCGACAATAGAAATTTGTAAAATTGCTTCAAAAGACTCAGTGATGTATGTAAGTCAGGATATACCGGAATTTAGTAGACCAGAATTGTCTACATCACATCAGATGGCGGAGGGTTTATTGGCGGGGGAAGAAGAAAACGGTGCGACTGAGGTGTCAAAGTTAAATGAACCCTTAATTGTTAATCAACTAGACATGGAGTTGGATAAAGTGAAAACTATGAATTTACAGTCGCATAAAACTCAACTACACTTTGTACCACCGCATAGCGACAGCCAATCAAAACTTTATTATCGTGATATTAAAAATCGTCGAAGACGGATTAAACGTATTAATATGAGGGGTAACCGTCTGTTATACATGACCAGCGAACGTATACAGCTGAAATCTCATGGATTATGCAATCAAGAAACTGATAAACTTCAGAGTTACCAGTTACATCGTGCACAAAGATCCTATCGACAACCAAATCCTAGCTATCATTTACAAGAGGATTTGACTAACAGACGACTGTTGGGCATGCATTGTATACGTGATTTAAGAATGGTCATCAGGTCAGAACCTATAATACATCCAGCCAGACCTATCAATGATACAATAATCAACTTTGATAAAAAACTCAAAGATAGACCACAAACAAAACGTTTGACAAGTAATGCTGCACAACTTGAATTTCATCAAGAAATATCCACCCTTTCACCTGATAGTCGAGGGCTTCAGATGCCCCAAGGCGTTAAAGATGATATGTACACTTATGCTTCTCCATGCGAAGAAAGTACACTATCACTTAGGGATTCTCAAGACGGAACCAGTCAGAAAGATTCTACAAGTATGAGTGAAGGAGAGATTAAAATTCCCCCGACTACCATTCCAACGAGTCTGTTAAAAGCGAAATCCACCAGGAGGCTGAATGAAATGAAGTTGTTTAATGTTACGCCTAAATTGAAATCGACATTGAAAAATGAAACCTTATTAGGCCTAAATAAAACTCCAAAATCACTTGATATTCAAGAGAAAAGTCGAGGGAATACACCAATGTCACTATTTCGTACAAAATCGCATAGAATTAGGAAAACTGACAGTTTACAATCGCGTCGTCGTAAAGAATATGAAACAGAATTATGCGAAGCAGTAATGAACACCCCGGTGGCTGATTTAAGTGACAAGATCAAATCAATCATTGAACGCTATACGGATCTTCAAACCGCCGCTGGTCAACCGGTAAGTCCATCATCATACACACAAAGATCCATCTCTCAGATATCATCATCATCCTCATCATCAAGTGAAAGCAATCCAACTATTCAAGGTGACAGTAATTCAAAAGGTGAGGGTCAACACAAGGTGGTTGTCAAGAACAAAAAGCAGAGAATTGATGATGAAAAAAAGACATCACTACTACCCGATGACACCTCGCTGAAGTGTGATGAAGATGTTTTCACTGAATTCAGTGAAAATTCTTCAAGTGATGAAATTAGTTTATTATCGTTGAACAGGATCCTGGAGAAAACACTGAAACACGATGAGTTATTCATGTCAAAGCGGATTCATAGCAGTCGGACGAGTAGTCATGATACCAGGAGTACGACAAGTAGTCATGAAACTAGCCGCACAACGTCATCAATTAGTCATTATCTCTGCGATGAACATGCACATCACCGATTACATAAAATTAGACAATCAGTGAACTCATCACGTGACAAGTTGACAACATCTCGTTGTCATAGTACAAATAGTTATATCGTAGACAAGGATAGGCTTTTATTACTACTACCTATGTTAACAAGTGGTCATCGATTAAAGCATAGAAAGGCATTAAAATTGCTGGAATTATCAAATAGCTTGAAAGAGATATCTATCATCTGCCTATATCATGAATTACGTAACGCAATGAAACGTAAGGATACAATTAGACAGTTGGTCAAGAAAATACTCACTACATAACCATGTCGACTAAAATTTTTATTCTCCTTTCTGTCCGGGGAATTAACAGCCTTAAAGAGGAGAACTGCAGACACTTGTCGTGTCTGTCGATTCTGTCTAACGTGTTTTGTGTTCATAATTTTCTGTACACTCATAGTTTGTATTTTGTTGTACCTATCAATTTTTTTTGGATTGGTGGGGAGGGACTTCATTTTATAACTATACTTTTCCACAAAATTTCTTGGGTTTTGGTGATATTCATTGGTCACCTTTAGTGCAAAGTGTTATTTTAGTGTCTTCATTATTATTATTGTTATTATTATTATTATTATTATTATTATTATTGACTTCAGATGGGAAAAACACAGCCGAAACAATTCTATTATCTTTGCTCATTTCCATTTCATTTTTCCGTCTTCTTCTCCTGATGAATATTTCCTCCCATTGACGAATTTTCTTTCCTCATTTTTTTCCACGTCTCAGAAACAATTTCTGAGAGTTAACATTAAAATTATTTCGAAATTGAATTTCATACAATTGAGTTTTTTCTGTATACAAAATTATACTACTTAAATAGTTTGGAGGAAAAAAGAAAAATGTTTTTTTGCATGTGTTATCTTTGGGAACTCACTTTCATGAGGTGGAAATGAAGACAATGTATGACTTAGGTGGATGGTTTTATGTCGCTTCTACTGTTTTGTGATTTTTGTGTCGTCATTACCCTTCCTAGACAACTTCTTCAATGTTAATAATGTTATTTGACTGGTGTTTGCCAGCAGGGAAATTTTTGACGTATATTTCAGTCACTTTGAGACTCCTTAGCTGGATGTACATGTGTCCTTATTAACTGACGGCATTGCTGCTGTGATTCAAACTCAGAACTCATCATTTCAGACACCAAAGCACAATCCACGGACGCTTCGTTGATGTCTCAGAGTCAATAGTATGTCGTTTGGTTGATGGTAACTAGCGGTAAAATCTGGAATGCACATTTCGCCCTATTTTGAACGATGGGTCCCGGGTTCGAGTCTTATTATTATCTAATGAAGTTTTGGTTGGTCTACAGGTAGTCGGTTGGTTACAGGTCTAATCATGAGCAAACATCCGTTTGAGAACTATTCGAAAAGCAGAGATACAGCTATTCCGTCCCAGTTTAGCTCTCTTCATAAGTACACGCCCAAAGGGGTTCAAACTCAGCATTTTCCAGTTACAGAGTCAGCACGTAAACCATTCAGACGATGGAAACCGATCCAATGTCCAGACCAGAAATTCCAGTTTCTGCCAATTGGCTATGTATATGGCCTAACTGGCACCAGTCATTGTCATCACCACTGTCAACCGTCCTCTTACTTGACTTGGTGGAACCCTGTTGGTTCCGAATTCTCACTAGATTTACAGGTAACTTCCAGGTATTACTTTGCAGATGTTGGATTAGCGGTTCTCCAGTTGATCCCAATCAGTGATCAAATTTCAAAACCAATCAGTTCTCTCGACAACACGGTAAGGAGACGTAGTTTATCTGTAACGTGTAATGTGTGAATTTGCGCAACACATTTCAGACATTCTCATCACACACACTAGTACTTGTTATGCACAGTTTTATAAAAGGCATGAATCATTACAATACAGGTCAGATTGTGTACAGGCCAAGATCACAAATAATGGGTAGGGAGATGACGCAAAGCTGTGAGTAAGAAAGAATAAACAAAGCAAAGGAGGGGTTGAAAATATTATGAAGTATTCTCGACATAATAGTCATTTGTGATAAACTGACAGACGCCATAGAAATCCTGAACCAGATCAAAAGAGTACAAAATAGTATATCGCTAACACACGTAAAAAAGAATAATGATTGCTTGCTATTTTTATATGTACACTCATAACCCGCCGCCGATAAGATGGGTCAGTAAAACGATCTGTCTACAGAAAGTCCACATTTATGAGACTATATCTAAATTATCATAGTTTCTGTCCACTACAGTGTAAAAAGGCGTTGGTTGGTTAAATGTTTGTTCAAGCGCATTCACCGTAAATGTACTGCCGATACAAATGGAGAAGAAAGACAACACCTCACTAAAATATTGTTAGATAACAATTACTTTTTGAGATTTATTAGGTGTTACGGAAGTGTCAACCAAAGAGCTCTCTACCAATCCAATCAGTTTCCAAAAAGGATGTTTATAGAGCTTATCATGCAGTTAAACTTATCTTCATAGAGGAAACGAAAACTATGCTGTCCTGTAAACCCTCACAGTATGCGGACGATAGTGTCATATCCCAAAATGTTTAGCAACTTACATGTATATGTGGACACACGTAAATAGGTAGGACCTTTCGGTCTCTGCAGGCTAGGGCTACAGAACACATTCCAAAGTGGCTGCAGCAACAAATGAAATCGCCAGACACAATTGAACCCAACATCATCTATAGTGAAGCATATTATAGAGACGGGTCATCAGGTTGATTTCAACAATGCCTTTAAGCCGATAAATAAAACAAGGTTGGGCCACATACTTAAATTCATTGAAGCCTTAGTCATAAAAGGACTTAAACCTGTCTTATGTGTCCAAAAGTTATTTGTTATCACCTTAAACCTGCCTTGGTAATCCAGTTGAGAACGAAGATTCATTTTACTTCATAATATGTTCAAACCCTTCTTTGTTTTTTCTTCCTTTCTAGTCTACACCTTTGCGGCAACTCCCTACCCATTATTTGTGACCTCTGCCTGTACACAATCTGACCTGTATGGTAATTATTCATGCCTTCTTGCCTTCTATAAAACCGTGTATGACAAGTACTAGTGTGTGTGATTAGAAAGTCCGAAATGCGCAAATACATTACACGTTTCAGATAAACTACGTCTTCTTATTGTGTTGTCGAAATTCATAAAGGGAACTAATTGATTCAAATAATTTTTTCGCCGACGTTATCCCATTTATCGTATTTAACAATCTCATTTGAGAACCTGTAATTTCCTGAAGTCAAATTTTCTCCGACATCCTAGATACGGGTGCTTTGAACATCCTGTTAAGTAATATATCCTTCAGCGGTTCTGAATTAATGGAATTCGGGTAAAATGTTATTCCATAAAGTTTAAAATCTATTGCTGCCTCAAAGTATACATTGTGTATTGGCATTTACAAATAAACCAAACGCAGAAGCAGATAGATTTAGTGTCTTTACTGATAAAGGGTTGGTTATCGGATGGTGTAATATTAAGTTTCAGGGGTTGATGAAAGCTATCTAATGTATAACATCACAGACACTTCTGCAGCAGAGAATCCAGCTTTCAATGGAAGGTAAACATATAAACATAGGCTGAAGGAGAGTTTTTGTCAGCACCCTCCTCACTTCCGCAGCTACGCACATAGTTGTTTACATCAAAATGTCTTCCACAAAAGTTTCTGATCGGTTGCACACTTTAATTTCAGTAAAGGAAGAAATGAATTACGGTTTGTTATATGCTTCAAATGTGCGTCGGTAGCACTGAGGTAGAATGTTCGAAAACCACGCATGTGGTCTGGGGTTCAATCACCGGTCGACTCAGTCCTTTACCTCGCTAAGCCAGTAATAAGACTGATTAAGAGGAAAGGTTAGGCATCAGGCTTGGCATCAAGCCTCCATTTTGAGGCCTTATGTTGCACGGAAACGTAAAGGAATAAAAAAAATGCTTCAAACAGACAATCTGATGTTGGAATTCTGGTTGACACAGGAGAAAACTATCATGAAGTGTCTGAATAGTACTACGTAACTTCGAATATCAGTCTTCGTGGTTCTTACAATCAGTCAGGCAGTTTTGTTCTTCTTTGTTCTTCTTCCACTTATCATAGGGATTAATGATTTCACGGTTTTTGAGTTCTTTGAGCAGGATGGATTATTTGTGAAGTTTCTATTGTCTTTTTAGACAGCCTCTTCAACACTGATTTCAAGATAAAGTTAGCTTTAAGAGTTCTTCTTGAACGCAACTATTGCCCCTCTTTTTCTAAGAGTGACTGGTTGTCTCTGGAGGTTTTGTGATCCTTCGATTCGACTGAATTGTTTAGTATGATTATTTCCGTTGATTTGATATTCCATCTTTCGTTTTAGTGACAATTCTTTTCTTCATTTCTTGATAAATCCAATTGATTATCAAGTGTCAGTTTGAAGGGATTTGCTTGGTTACATACAGATTTAATGAAAACAAAACACGTAGTTCAGAGAAGAGTCTCTTTTCGGCGGCGAATTCATTTTCTTAGCTGTACAATCACAAATATACATATATATGTGTTATTTTGTATGTATGTGTACATTAACTTTGTCAAACAAAAATACAATTGGTTACAATGGTTATTTCAACTAAACAGGTGAAGATGGGTAATTGGAGTTACGTAATACAAAATCAGTCAAGAAAATTAGGTGTTAATGAAATTAGGGTAGTGTAACAAAGGTGATGAGTTGTCACAAATAGTTGCTAAAATAGAAGTTATTCAATAATTTGAATAGTTTGATGATTGAATTTTACTCAGGATGCACATAGGAACAAAGTATATAATACGAAATTACGTAAGAGTTCTGAATGAACACAAGAATTATAAGCAATTAAAGAGATAGGCAAACAAACAAAATTAAGTCATCAAAAATCAACAAAGTTGTTACCATGACTGTTAATCGCGATAGATAGATAGACTGTATGATAAACAGCCAATCAATATTATGTGACCTTTTTTGTCGCGATTATTGGTCGATTTATTGTAACTCTCACCACGTGATGACCTTGAATGTTCTTTTTTGTCTGTCACTTTACTTGTATATACATGTAATTAACTGACTGTTCATTTTGTCCGTACCTTCAATACTGTCCGGTACGTTTTTGTCCTATTTTTGTAATGACAATGGATTTGTACATTTTTCTTGGTGTAATTGTATGGTTTATTTTATGTTTTAGAAACAGATAAAGTTAAAGTCAAGTTATTCTGTTTTAACTATTGCTAAGCCCAGACTCTGTGTTGTCAGTATTGAGGGAGGACTAAATCTGTAGGATA